CAATAAACCATTCATTTAGAAGCCTTCCACAATTCTCAACAAGTACTTTATGTTGGGCCGGAACCCGAAAAATTATATTCAAAAGGGAGGTCTTAAATAACAATAATATATAGTGGAATATTATTAAAAATTGAGTAGATCCATTGTTAAACTCTTAATAAAAATTATAAATTATAAGTAATTTTGTAAATAAAAAAGTTTCTTAATTTTTTACAAGTTATTTATTTGCAGTATTTAATAAGACTTATTAGCCACGAAGAGAGTCTCTGTGAAAGATGGTCTCCCAAACAAATGCATGGGAAACTTTCTAGTCACAGTTACTCTTTTTCGATCGTGCAGGATTGGACACGGTACCCTTCTATCTGGTTCCAGGGTCATCTCTGATGGCATGTTACAGGCTGCAGCCAGTGGGGGCTGCTACCCCACAAATCCTTTAATAGATGCGTCCATGGTGGTTCGGATATATTGATGTGTCTGTCTAATCTCAAAATGAGATAGAAAACTCACAATATCACTCGGAGTGAAACTTGATCTTCAATCCTAAGAGTTTAACATAAACTCATTCATCTAAATTTGGATTAGACTTGATTGGTTCGATTAGGGTTGGATTTAGGCACGGACCCATGAAGGCCCAGTGGGGCAGCCGCCCCTACTAATTTTTTTTATTTACAAAATTACCTATAAAGCTTTTGAAATCTTAAAAATATCCCTATTTTTTTTTTTTAACCCCACTCAATTTCTAATGATAACCATCATAAATTATTGTTGTTTAAAGTCACCCCCCTCTCATACAATTCTTTGGGTCCGTCATTGGTTGGATTAGTTTACAAAACCCCTTTTCCCCCCTCTGGTTGCAACCATAATGCTACGTTTGATGTGTAAGAATGGAATAGAATGGAATGTTCATTCGAACCATTCATTTGTTTGGTGTGCAAAAATGAAATGAAATGACCATTCTATTGGAATGAAAATCCATTGCAGGAAATGAAAATTCATTTCATTACTAAACCTATGAAATGACCATTCTATAGTAAGATTAATTTTTTTTTTTTTTTTTTTTTTTTGTAATATTCCCAATAAGCCCTTCATCACATTCTAATAAGGCAAAAATCTTTCGCATAGATAAAAAAAAAAATTTACATTCCATTTTTTACATTTCTTTATTAAACCTGGTAAAGGTCTTTCATATTCCCTTTCTTCTAAATATACCAGGGCTGCCATTGACAAAAAAGTTACAGGACTCCATTTTTTTTTTTAAATTTTTTTTTTTTATATATATTATTGAGATTGATATATCATTAAACACATATATATATTTTAGTTTTTAGCCTTTACCACAACTTGAATCTGTCCAAGATTTAAAGCCAATTCTAGAACACTATTGTGACCATGGGGTTGGGAAGTGGCTACGGTTTTGTGCTTACGTCTTTTGGGAAATAAGATATTTTCCCTTTTGTAGTCATTTATTAAGATTAATATCTCATTAAAAATAATATTTTATTTTATTTTAAGGTTTTTTTTTTAATTTATTTTTCTCAATGGTAGTATTGGGCATCTTATAACATTTCATAATTCATCGTCAGAATATTAATTAGATTGATTTTATTAAAAAATAATGTAAGCCAATGAAAATGATATTTTTGAGAAAAATATTTCTATTCCAGATTTAATGATAGTCAACTAAATAATAAAATAGTAATAATCATTCCATTTCATAACGATTCACCGTGTCATACCAAACAATGAGATGAGAATGCTTATTTTATTCCATTCTCATTCTCAGTCTCATTCCATTCCAAGTTGCATTACATTTTATTTCTGCACACCAAATGTAGCCTAAGCACTTTCATATTTGATAGAATATATATATATATATATATATATATATATATACATATATATTCCTTATGTTTTTCTTCATGTTTAGATTGAATGGACATTTGGTACATAGTAAAGGACTTCATATCAATTATCATTTTCTCCCATTACTTAATCTTGAAAAGTAAGTATACTTTATGAGAACTTTATCAAGCTTTATACCTGCCCAATAAAAACTTTATCAAAGCTTTATATAAGCTTTGAAAAAGTGGAACCATTTCTTGCAGTAAAATCCATAGTTGGATCCCAGTTAGGTTGTATCAGACTTTCATCAAGACCCCTCTACTGTACACACAAATTAAAACAGGGCCTTGGACCAATGGCCCATCATTACCCACTAGATCTTACCATTTATTTCTAATCATATCCATAACAAAAGAAGTGATCAAAATGATCATGCTTTTATAGTGCAAAAGCATGAAAGTCCTTTCATTTTATTTTTATTTTTTATTTTTTATTTTTTATTCCTGGAACCTAGTGAACAAAAGGGACCCTTGTTCAATCCTTTGTGTGTAATCCAGGTATAGGCCAGGGCATGGAGTGTACACCCATCGGAAATATCGACCCTCTTTGAGAATCTAAAACAGAACAGTAGTAAAAGGAATTTTCACAAATTCGTGAATCCGATCTCTCATCTTCGTCGTTGCAATATTCACCGTAAAACCGAAAAATCTCACTTTGCTCTTTGCACCGTCAGTCTGTATATTCCCCGAAGCCAGAACATTCAATTAATTTCACTTAGCTAGGTTTCCCCAAAACCTAACACATAACATCCAGTGTACACTCTGGTGCACCAAATCGTGCACACCTCCGCCTGCACCTAATTCTTTTTTATTTTCTTTTAGCTTATAAGTCACGTGGGAAAAACCCCACATTTTTCCCTCTCCGCCTATGAGGGGAAGAGCCACCGAGCACTCTTACATGGAGTGTTGAACACTGCCGCAGTGTTAAAAAAACTTCGGATTTACTCTTCAATTCTTGTATAAATGTTGTTGATAAGATACGAAAACTCTACAAATAGGTTGTTAAGTTTGATGGTTCAAATATTTTACTACCATGTCAAGTAATGACCTCTTTTATAAGTTACTACCTATTACAATATTAAGTAAATAATTTAATTAATTAAAAGTAGGGTAAAGTGCATTAAACCCTCCCTGAACTACAAAAAATTCCCTGAACTATGATTTTGTTGCAATTTACCCTCTTGAACTATTGGTCATTTGCAAGAAACCCTCCTGAATTACAAAAAACCCCTCTAAACTATGATTTTGTTGCAATTTACCCCCTTGAACTATGATTTTGTTGCAATTTACCACATTGAACTATGATTTTGTTGCAATTTACCCCCATGACATCAGCTTCCGGTACTGAAAATTTTGAAAGACCAGTTTACCCTTATAACACGTACACTGCGTCGTTTTAACTTATACACTTCTTACTTTTTTTTTCTGCCAAAAGATATCTTTCACCCAACACAATCCAAAACTGAGAGCTAGAGAGAGAGAGAAGAGACCAAAGAAATTTAAGGTTGGCGGGATAGCTCGGTCTCAGATGATGGCGGCTTGTGCGCGGAGGACTCTGCTGTGATGAGAGCTCAGTTGACTCGGCCGTGAACTGTAAAGCGGCAGCGAGCTCAAGGGGGCTCGGTGGTGAACTGTGGACAGCTGTGTGCTCGAAACACGGACGACGATGTGCTCGGCTATGGAGATGGCGGAATGGGCCGGCGAGATTGGAATGGACAGTGGAATGGGCTGGCGAGCAAGGTGAGCTGAACGGCGGGCAAGGCGGTGACGGCGATGGGCTGACGCAATGGTGGAGAGAAGTGCGATATATATGGCCGACGGATCTGGCTAGTGGTGCAACGGCTATGATGGAGCTATGACAGGAGACCCACCAATCCCAGCAACAAATTCCTCGGCTTCATCATCCCTTTCAGTCAATCAATTCGCTTGGATGGGGTAAACTGCAAAAATATATATAGTTCAGGGGTTTTTTTGCACATACCCCGATAGTTCAGGGGGTTTTTTTGCAACTTTTATAGTTCAGGGGGGTTTCTTGCACATATCCCAATAGTTCAGATTTTTTTTGTAATTTTTATAACTTAAGGAGGTTTCTTGCACATATCTCAATAGTTCAAGGGAGTTTAATGCACTTTACCCCTTAAAAGTATAACCTATGCTAGAAATAGTCAAACATACATGTATAGATCGTGTGACCACAAAATGAGTTGGGAACTTGGGATTCGGTCTAGATCACTTGTTGGGATCAGCAAACAGTTCCTACAAGTGAGATTTTCTTCAATCATGCTTGATGGTTGATTATGGCTTGACCCACCAATCGTGTGACCGTGATCGTCTCATTAATTTGCCAAATTTTTTTTATAAAATAATGATGGTAACATCTCCCTTGGTTTTTTGGGGTAAATTGACGGTAACATCTTATAATGGACCCTCTCTAAAACTCAAGAAATCCTGAAACCCCAATGATCAGGTGAAGCACCAACACTCCACAATGTTCAACAAAATTAATTTATATCACGTCATGAGAGAGAATCTATGTAATTCTAATTGCACTACATATATATATATATACATATATTTGCTATAATTGAGATAAAGTATAACTGTATAATCAACTTAAGAAAGATATTTTTTATTTTTATTTATTTCAAGGTTAAGGAAAAAGACTAAAGCCTCCTTTTTACCATTCTCTACAAAAATTGCGTACATTTAACCTATCTAAATTATATCATAGCAAAATTCTCGTGTACTGAAGTAACTCTTTTTAACTAAAATAATGAAGATTAAAGTTGAAAAAAGAAAATTTTATGGCCTCTTTGGTACTCTAGATTTCTCATAATGTATATTTCCATTAGAAAACATGCAATTTGTGGAAATCATTTTTTTTAATACTGAGTAGAAAAAGAAGTGTTTAATTTCAGAAGCAATCTATTGTAGACTTGTAGTAATTCTCTAATAATTGTTTCTTGTTTTCTGAAAAACTAATTAAACTAAATAGTTTTCCTCATAAATATCTTCCCAAGTAAATAAAGATCTTCTTAAAGGGCAATATTGTCTCCAAAATTTCTATAAAAACACATTCACCCTTCTCCATCCCTTACACTCACCTTCCCAATCACACACAAAACACACACACAGAGAAAGGATGATAAGTGCAGATGATTTCTACAAGGTTATGTGTGCGATGGTTCCTCTCTACTTTGCAATGCTGATAGCATATGCTTCAGTGAAATGGTGGAAGATATTCACGCCGGAGCAGTGCTCCGGCATCAACCGTTTCGTGGCGGTTTTCGCGGTCCCGGTGCTGTCCTTCCACTTCATAGCTCAGAACAATCCATATCAAATGGACACCAAGTTCATATTGGCTGATACACTCTCAAAGGTCCTAGTGCTTGTTTTGCTTTCAATCTGGGCTATCTTTAAAGGAGGTTTGGATTGGTTGATCACACTCTTCTCAGTATCTACTTTGCCAAACACACTAGTCATGGGCATTCCTCTGCTTAAGGCCATGTATGGAGACTTCACTCAGAGTCTCATGGTGCAACTAGTTGTTCTACAATGCATTATCTGGTATTTTATTAATTGCACTATGTTTTTGTATATATTCATTTACATTCTTCAATTTTCTCTCACATTTGTATTAGCTTGATCATCTTTCATGCTGCCTGCCTCTCTCTCTCTCTCTCACACACACACACACTCACAAATTCACTTACTAGCTAAGCTAAACCTTTTGTTAAAGCAAGTTGAAAAGTCAAAAAAGGTAAAACAAGCATTAAATTTTTTCCCATAAAGTTGATTCAAATCTAGTGAAAAGCTATGGAACATAGAAACAAGCACAAAACCAACATTAAGAACAACATTTGATCTATATATATATATATATACACACACACACACTTGAACAAATATAAAATATTAAAATAAACATATATCGATTTAAATAAACATGAACATATATATAGTCTACAGAATTTTGAGGATGGACCTTGGCATAACCATAGGTTGGTCCATTGTGATCTGGATATCACAATTGGAAACCGAAAACAGTCTTCATGCATAAGTAAGACAACGTGACTCTATCAAGCTCACCAATAGGAGCCTTGAGCTAGGGTTTTTTTAGTATAGAAACTCTGCATAGATTTGTTTATCATTATATTGTATGGTTTTAATTTGTTTCATTTTGTTGAACATGAAAATTAACATGAACATGGTCTACATATATTTGTTATATTATTATATTGTATGGTTTCTATTTTGTATGATGATATACTATATGAGTAATATTAATATACGTTCATGTGTATACTAAACGTGCATGCAGGTACACATTATTGCTATTCCTCTTTGAATATAGAGCTGCCACCATATTAATCAAAAACCAGTTCCCTGGTACTACTGCAGCCTCCATAACCAAAATTGAGATCGACGGTGACGTCATATCTCTCGACGGCCGGGACCCGCTATGCACCGAATCGGAAATCGACGGCACCGGGCGTATCCGAGTCCGAATCAGACGGTCCACATCCTCCGCCCCGGACTCGGCATTGTCCTCATCCATTGGAATCACTCCTAGGGCATCCAATCTCTCCGGTGCCGAGATTTTCTCCGTCAACACGCCCGCACCAACTCATGACATCACTTTTGGTGACTTGGCATTTGGGTACCGGTCGAGTCCCCGGCTATCGGGGTACGCGTCCTCAGACGCTTACTCGCTTCAGCCGACGCCACGCGCCTCGAATTTCAACGAATTGGACATGACGTCGGTGACGACGGTGAATACGCCGATGTGGGTCAGGTCTCCGGCAGGTGGGAAGGTTTACCGGCAGCCGTCGCCGGCGTTTTCCGGGATGAGAATGGTCTGGGAGTCACCTGGGAAGTGTCAGGTTGGAGGAGACAGACAAGGGTGCAAGGATGTTGTCGGAGGTACGTATTGTCACCTTTGATTCTCTGACATTGTCTCTCTTTCTTTCCGGTACGTTTGTCTTCTGATTAACAAAAATATAGTAGTAAACGTGACACAAATAATAAAATGATATTGTAATTTTATTAATTTTAATATATATATATATTCAAAATTTAAAATGAACGCAATAATCGTCCTACATCAATGGTGTGCACAAACCTGTATTATTCATTTATTATTATTATTTTTCAATAAAAGAGGTCATGTGTGTATAAATATATATATATATATATATATAAAAGAAAAACGTTAGGAACTCGAGTCTCATAATCATAATTAAGTATTTATGTATGTGTGTAAATATTTATTAATTTATAATGAAAAAGATAAATATAGTGTACGTATATTATATAGATACATAATAAGCATATGAATGTGTATTGTTAAGTACTGTAGTGATGTCACATATACTTTGGCAACACATGGAAACCTGTTCGATTCACCCAAATGCAGCTTTTTCAGGTTTGCATGCCTTTTTCTTGAAGAACCATAAAATGTTGTCTCATCCTGACACAATCACTGCATATGACCACGCCAGATCTAACCCCATCTATTAACTGAATTAACTAACCATAATCAGATTAGCACAACTAATAATATTTTTCAATTGACAATGGTGTTGGGACAATTAATCAATAAACTAATATAAAATTAGATATCCTCACAAGCCATGACATTAAATACCATATAAATCTTAGAGGTACAATCTAAATATAACACTCTCTCCCTAAGTCACATATAGTGAGAATGAGAGTAAGAGCGTAAGAGCAACAGAATTAAGTTATAAGCAATGAGAATTTGGTCGAAAACGCGCCAGAGCGTGAGAGCTAAAATGTGTTTGGAGGGTGAGAGCCACTATTAAGATGGATTGTGTGACTTAACTCCTTCCCAAGTCACAAAGAGTGTCCATTTTTGAGAACCGAACATTTTAAGAGTATAATATTTAATTTATTATTATTATTACGGTAGTGAAAATAAAATTTTAAATATACCATTCTATTTTATGAGATGGAGGGAATAGTAACTTAATATATGTAATATGTTCCTTTATTCATGCTTATTAGAGAGAGTGCATCTCCACATGCGAAAAGTTATTTCTTTGTTCTGAACCATTTTATTCTCACGTACCCTCCAAAAAATGAAAAAAAAGAAAGAAAAAGTGAAAATACATGGAACATTATTGTAACATTTAATCATTAGACCTTCAATATTGTCTTGGACAGGTCTCCAGCATATATATTCTTGCCTTGGATCCCCTATATTTATTTATTATTTTATTATTAAAAATCAAGATCCTATAGAGAATAATAGTTTGTCCCCTTTGATTTCAAGTTTCCATCATAGCAAAAAGAAAAAAAGAAAAGGGAAGAAGTGGTCAAGGTACTAGTAATCTTAAATTAACCCAACACAATTAGTGGGCCAGCCCTTTAATTGATAATTTGATAGGTACCATGATTACTTGCAAAGCACGTGCGTTGAAATAGGCTGATAATTTGTTTCCATACATGAAAGACAATATGATAATGTCACTTTTTTTTTATGGTTGGCAATATGTTATATCATGTTTTATATTGATGTTAAATTTTAGAGTAATCCAATGTCTTAAATCAAATGATCAAAGTTGGTTCAACTCTTGTCACCTTTCACCCATATTTGCACGCACAAACATATTCTCAATCCTTAAAATAGTTATATTTTAGGGTATAGTTCTGGTTGGAAAAAATGAGTGTGTATATTATTATTTGTCAAATATATATATATATATATATATATAGATAGCATTTTTAAAGATTGTTGATTCTTCTACTGAATGATTGATTCTTAGTAGAAAAGATTGCCAACCCACCCTGGATTAGAAGATAAAGTTAATATAAGGACTTTAATATGTACGAAATCAAAAATTATATTTTATGTAAGTTCAAAAAATAAATAAATAAATAATGAAGAAGAAGAATTTCTAAGCAATTTCATATATATATATATATATATATATATATATATATATATATATAGTTTTGGGGGTAAATATATAAGAAGAATACTCATAATATTACAAAGGCTCAAACTTGGATGAAGAGATTATACAATTTAGACTAATGCTCATTGGTCGAGAACTTGAAGCCTCAACTTTCTATCTTGAAAGACAAGAAAGTATCACGAAATTACTGTCCTAGCTCGGTCTTGTTTTGGTTGTTCATTAATTTTCCGTAATAAATTGTATATTATGTTGTGTACCTGTTATTTAAGAAATAATAGTTGTTTTGAAAAGCAGAGCAATATTGATTATTAATGGATTGTGATTTTTAAACCCCTCTCCAGAGAAAGATCTTAGTTTCAGAGACAACTCAAAATTTCCAATGGGAGAAGAAACAGATGCAAAAGGTGCAGAGATAAATCAAGAAATGCCGAATGCGATTGTCATGCTAAAGCTCATACTTGTTATGGTTGGAAGGAAGCTTTCTCGCAATCCAAACACTTACTCAAGTGTTTTAGGCCTTCTCTGGTCTCTAATCTCATTCAAGTGAGTTGATTATGAAATTTCCAAACACACACACACACTTAATCTCGATTTATGAAGATTGCATGAAATTACTGACAAATTTTTCATGGATTGAGCAGATGGAATGTGGGAGTTCCTAGTGTGGTGAAATATTCGATAAAAATAATTTCAGATGCAGGTCTTGGGATGGCCATGTTCAGTTTAGGTATAAATTTAAATATTGTTCAACTGATGATTGTGACACACTAATCAACATTAATTAGTATCATGTTAGTAAACTCTTATGAATAAATTGAATTTGATTTTGAGATTGTTGAAAATATTGCAGGGTTGTTCATGGCACTCCAGCCCAGGATAATTGCTTGTGGCACAAAAATGGCAACGATTGGAATGGTGATACGGTTTCTGGGTGGGCCTGTATTAATGTCAGCTGCATCCATTGCTGTTGGACTAAGAGGAAAGCTACTACACACTGCCATAGTACAGGTATACATATATATATGTATATATATCACCACATATATACAAACACAAGATGTATCTACCTATGTGTGTGTATTGCGCGTGTATGCATGATTTGTTGGTATGGAATCTCAGGCAGCTCTTCCCCAAGGGATTGTACCATTTGTCTTTGCCAGAGAGTATGGGCTGCATCCTGACATACTAAGTACTGGGTAAGTTTCAAACCTCATCATATATATATATATATATATATATGATCGAAAGAAATGCTACATTGTACTAATTATCCATCCCAATTCATCATTCAATCATTCATTAGACACATCCCTCCTCTCCTTTTGCAGGGTAATCTTCGGCATGCTAGTTTCCTTACCTGTAACTCTCCTCTACTACATATTGCTTGGCCTGTGAAGAAAATTAGGGCTACAATATGTCCCCGAATTATCGTCCACGCCGGCCATCCTTGGGTCCACTGTGTTTGAAGTAGCCAACATCTAAAATGTCATTAGCAAGATCAATGGTGCTTGCGCTTTCTAATCATGTAAAATTCTCCGAACAAGATTGACTATTGACTTAATATCAACCGGATTTCAAAAGCCGGAAAATTAGGGTTAACATAGAGTGTGACAGAAGAATGTAAACAAGGTGAAGGTTCACTGTCCTAGCTAGTGGTACATGGAGTAGTGGTAGCCGAAAGGAAATGGATTATCATGACTTATTATGATTAAGGTAGGGGACTTGTTCTTCTCTTATGGGGTGGACAGAGTTGTTGCAACAAAGTATTTTTGACCCAAGAAAAAGGGCAAAAAAGGTAAAATCATTTCGATGCTACTTTTATGTTTGTGTGATTTTATTGTTATTCCTTTGATTTTCTGAATCAATCATGACACACTAGTACATGCTTTCTGCTTTTCAAATATATATATATATATATATATATATATATATATGAAACAGAGATTGTATTGCCTTAGAATTGAAGCCTTGTGAACAAGATAGAGAATACTATATTGATTGCTTCTTTATGTTGCCCATGTACTAAAAGGAAGCATCAAATAGAAATGCAATCATTTTGTTGCGTCTCAGTCAGTCAAAAAGTCCATAACCCAAAAAGAATTTGTCATCCAAAGTATTAAAGTAAAAATGATAGGGAATAATAATGCTTCATCCATTATACAGTAATTTTTTCATCCAAGTACTGAAGTAAAAACAGAGTATGGTATCCTCTGCTCAATATGAACTCTATTAATTATATATATAAATATATATTTATTGGTAAGTTATTTTGGTTATTGTTTGCAAAATATTTAGTTGAGTTCAATGTGGAATAGTAGAGCTTGTGGAATTATTTGATTCAATAGATTTTCATCATTTATTTGTATAGAATTTTGACAATAAGAATGTCCCAAATTTTGGTTTCTTAACCTTTTTCCTTTAAATGATTGATAGATAGTTAATGAAAGCCATACATGATTTTGGAATTTTTGGACTCACATTATTTTATTTATTTATTTATTATTTTTTTTTTTAAGAAAAGAGATCATCTACAAGGTACCTCATGGTGTAATATATTAATTGTTCTTAATTTCTTTGGTTAGTTCACGAATTCGACACTCTATCAATCGTCTTAATTCCAAAGGTAAAAGACGTTTCATTGGTAAGCAAACTGCTTTTTCTAGCTTTTAATGCAAATTGCCCATCTATATGCAGGTGTTCTTAACTAATATTTTTAGTTTCCTCTAATATTTCAGGTAAACACGGCTGGCAAGTTATTTGAAACTTTTTAACAAAAATATATAACATATTATTATAGGGTTATACTCAACATTTTCCAAATTTATTCAAAACAAAGTATCCCTTTATATCATTTGTCAGGGTGGTAAGGGTATGATATGTCATGCAATAGTTATTTATGTAAAAATGAAAAATGGATGATAGAACATACATGAAATCTTTTGTTTGTTCTTCAGGTTGGTCAAAAAAGAAAAGAAAATAAGAAAATAATAATAAAAACTATAAGATATGCTTGTTTGTTTCATGGGACGGGGAAAAATAAGAGACCAAACAAGAAAGAAACTCACAATATGCTTGTTTAATTGTCACAAAGAATTTCTATTGAGATAAAAGTTGGGGAAACAATTCTATTATTATTATTATTTTTTTGATTTTTAACAATTTAATACAATACCAATGTATATAAATTTACATTTACAACTTAATAAACAATTCCCACCAATAAGTTACTTTTATCAGCAACCTAGTAGCACAAATTAATTGAGTTAACTGGTTTTCTGATACTTGTGTGTTTCCAGATTCTACCAAATATAGTTTCATAAAATTCAAATTATGAATATTAAGTTATGATTTTGGAGAGGCAAAAACGTATAAATCAAAATTACATGAGTCTTTACTTTGGTAAAAACCACATCCCAATGACCTAAGTTAACTGGCAGGTACAAAAATCACATCAGCTCAAAAGCAAATTGAAATTGCAAAATCACATAGAGCTCAGGTAAAACATTTATTTCATTCTTTATATCAACAGGAAACACAGTTGTTGCGACTTAATAATCACGAATTCACAAACAAATACAATCGAATAGCACGGTAATCCAATAGTTGACGTTCGTCACATTATTTCAAATTTTAGCATAAGGTCCACAAAGTGAAGAGGAAGGAACTTATAAAATTTATTTTCAAGCTTTTACCATTTCGGAAATTACGTTATCAAGATTTGTGCTCGAGATGGTGCTGACTTGAACTGGAAGGAGATGGCACCTCCTCAATGGTAATAGGAAGGTTAGGTTGGTTATGTGCAGATTTAGCATGCCTACCTTCACCAAAAACTTCATTCTTCCTGATCAGTTCATCAACATGCACATCATCATCAATTGATAGCGTGACAGCGTCTTGTCCATGTGGGCCGTGAACAATGGCCTCCTTGATCTTTAAATGTTCATCAGTACGTATGAAATCAGTTTCCTGTACCGTCTTCTTCTTCTTCCACTTCTTGATGAAGCAAAAAAGAGCGACTGCCAGAAATGCTAGGAAGCAGAGACAGCCAAATGAGACAAACACAATAACTATAACTGTAGAGTGGTGGTCTGGCGAACGTGGTGGAACGAAATGAGGAGGTGGCGGTGGAGAAAAATGTGGGAAGTCCAAGTTACTTGACGGAGAGGCCATTTGAATGTTGTGAAAATTATGAAGATATTGGATTGACTGGATGTGGAGAAACACTACTTCTGGGGGCTTATTTGTAGTGTGGATTTGATTATGTTGTGTAACTCAATGCTTTCAAGTTTATTGAGACTTGACTCTCATGCTAAGATTTGTAGTGATGTTGTCATTGATTGCAGTGGAAAACACTTCTCAAAACCTTGCCTTACCTATCTTACTAGGCTTGTTTTTTACATCAAAAGAATTAAAATTTCCAAGGGAAGTTTTGTTGAGCATTTGGGTGTGCATTTTGTTTGTCACTACTCTTAAGCAATCTAACAAATTTGGTTCTACGAGAATACAAGAGAAGGCGACTTTTTGATCTATTTTCATCCAAACAGAGCCAGAGCTGTTCTTTAACTTTCCAATGATTGTTGTTATATTACATTCTTCACAAACTAAAAGCAATTATGCAACGTACTCTTTGGTGGTTCAAGATTTTTTAAGTGACTCCTTTTACAGTTTCAACTTTCGACTTGTAGGTACACAAAATTGAGCACAGGCTTTTGTTTCAGAATTTCTCTTTAATGATTTCCAAGAACTACCGCCATAAATTCATTAATCAACCTTCAGTAACAATCCAAACGTACTTAAAAAACAGAAACCAAAATATATGTGTGTGTGTATATATATATATATATATATATATACAATCATAAGCGTACATTGTTTTGAGTATACAAAATGTTATTACAACTGATATAGTTTTATTTGCACGTGTGTTGACATACAAGATTATTTCAAATAGGATATAGGTGGAAAGCAACTTATGGAATAAGGCAGCTCTAAAAGACGAGGTACTGACCAACTCTCAAAAAAAAAAAAAAAAAATTGGGAGAATTCCTAAGAAAGGTGACATCTCACCACATTAAGCCAAATCTACACAGAAAAGGAAATTTAATGATGAATAAAAGAACAGGTATTTATCCCTCAAGTCACGCATGAACTGGAAGACGGAGTAAAGTAGAAGCTAACAGGAAACAAGAAAGGGGTAGGATTATTATAAGTATGAAGAAGAGAAGAAAATTTACTTGCGAATTCCCATTATCAGTGAAGGGAAACCCTGTTCTGTGTAAGCAGATGCGAGAAAATAACTTCATTCCATGTGTCAGGTACTCCAGGTAAGCACCAATGGCTACAATCAGGCACAGATGGATTGTCGCCCCAAGTACCCACATGTGCATCGCTACGAAATGCGCCCATGGGAGTAACATGCAGGACTGTCACAGGTTTCGTCATGTTCTTCACCACCTTCATTATGATGTCAGAAAATGGGTTACGGTCTCTGCCTCTAGTTTTTGATAAGGGTTGTCGAGTCACTTTGCAGTTCTGACGTGTTCCACCACTGGCATAAAAATAGCAACAAAGTCGGTCACCTTACATATAAGCTTACATTGTAACTTGTGATGCAATGTGGAAATGTACATAAAATTAAATGATAAATAAGCATAAAAGGGTATAAAATGAAGGATAGATTTGATAAAGTGCCGATAAACTGGCTCTATTGGAGGGTTTCTTTTTTAATCACAGTAACAGATCGATGAAGAGTACCATAAAAAGAGAAAATATGACTTATTCAAGTGGGGGTACCACTGCCACTAAATAAACTTCTGGTGTATGGAGTCTATGGACAGGAGAACATGCAATTTCAGGAAAAAAATATTGAGACTAATTAGAATGTAGTGGCAAGCCATAAAAAAAAAAAAAAAAAAAAAAAAAAGCAGCCAAAAATATTTAGCTCCATTTGCAGAAAACCATAAACAAGCTAACTGAACTCCTCTAAAGTGAATTCTATTTAAAAGTTTTTGACTCCACCTATGAAAAATTTCATGAAGGTGCTAACACGATTTGGCAGCAAATACACTAACTAGTATAACGCACCTCCAATGAGAAGCTTCAAAAGTCCGAAAGAATACGTGTGTTCTATTTGAATCGACCATGTTCTCGACCCAAGATGCCCAAGTATCTAATGCAGTTCTGAAGGCAGCAGTTATGGACATTCCAAGCTTCATCCTTCCACCAACCTGGAAATAGCAGCCCCTGCATAAAAAAATATATTAGAAGCATTCTGCAGAAACATTTATAAAGATACTGTCTTAAATTCTAAATTCCAAAGACTAAATCTGAAATTTTAGCAGTTTTGAAACCAAGTGGAGTTTTCCATGAAATTGATAATCTGTCATATGCAACGCAAGCTCCTTTAATATTTAATTGCCCAGAATTGCAGAATATCATGTTTGGTTGTCCTGATGGTCACTATAGGCAGCACAAAAGTTATTATTCAAGAACTTTCTTTTTTTCTCTTTCCAAGTTATTATTCAATAACTTCTCAAATGTGATCAGTGTAGCATAAATGCATCAGGAGATATATATAGAAAGAGAGAGAGAGAGAGAGAGAGAGAGAGAGATGCACATACAAGACACTAACATTATGAAAACAACACTTTAATGAACTGATTGCACAACTAGTGAAACTTTATATCCCTAAAGATCTACACAAAAGGATCTATGCAAATTGAAGGAATTGTATAATTGGAATATAATTACTGTCCTATCAGTTAAACTTATTTTTTCCTGCAAATTTTGGCATAACAAAAACAGATTATTCTGTTTCCACATTAATTTTTATTTTTTTGAGTAGGTACTATTTAATGTTATTTTACCCCATTATTTGGCAATGCTGAGGTGTTCCAATTATTTTGTAGCCTTGTCACACCATCACCACACCATTTTAAACACACAAAACAAGTAGGGAAGATTAATTAGCTTCTGCATTGTGCTTATATGTTCTCAGATCCATAGTATTTCTACACATCAAATTTAGAAATGTTAAAAGGTCAATACACAACTGGATTGCCCATTTAAGCAAATATCATTCCACAGTTTTAGAAAAATGCCTTGGGAGGACCATAATTATATTTCTTTTTATTTTTTACAGTTATGTCCAATTTTTCACAAGGATCCCCTTCAGAAGACTGAATTGCCAAGAATGTAATTATGGTACTCCCGAAGCATATTTTAAGCCCTCGTTAATGGAACAAAATCCTTTCAATGATTAGTAGATAAAAAAAAAAAAAGCTCCCCTCTTAGAATTAAAAATTCCCAGTCATCGGTAAAATCTTGTCATTTGTCAGTCTCATGTCCATATGAAAAAACTCATAGTGGAACTCTTAGCCCAGGTTGTAATGCTTCAATGCACCCAAGTAGTGAGGGAACATCTACTTCTCTCTTACATTTTCCTATAAAGGCTTCTCTCTTCAACTCTCCCACTACTGAGAAATTTTGATACAGAAAAGAATTCCGTAGTCAGACATGACAGGATCCTATCACAAAGAGAGCATTTTCTTCTTTATAATAGTGGATATCTGATGGCACATGATATCTCAAGCTATCGAAACTCTTAAGGCTTAAAACAATAGATTAGGACACTACAAATTTTGGATACTTCACTTGAGAGACTAGTTTAATCCAGCATTACCAGAATAAGACTAATATTTTAATCTACACCATGAAATGAGAAAAGCTTCATCAAAACCTCTACAAAAAGGAACAGGATGCTGTAATCAAAATTTTAAACAATTAAAACAAATTTTTTTTTTTTTTTTCCTAATTAAAATGCCTTTCTCCTCTTGTATACTAACAGTACATACAGCGGAGAGGCTTATCTTACATTAATGCCCTTTTGAAAATAAGCCATTCTAAAAGTCCTGCACATTTTATATTTAGACTTCATATAATGTCATCATATGGATTACATGTTTTAGCCCATGAGATAGGCTAAAGACGATTAGAGTATGCACTTCAAGCTTCTTGTTATTTGCTATTACGTCAAATTCTGTTAAGTGAAGCATGAAGCATGAAATGTGGAGAGTGAGAGTAAGGAAGAATGTAAAACTAGAGGAGCTATCAAAAATATATATATACATATATAAATGTATAGGATCATATGGCACTTCAGCTCATGACAACAAACATACAAGGTGAATTGAAATTGGACTGAGAAGTGATAACGACTAAAACTGACATTCAACTCTATATACCAAAGAACGTTTTGAATAAAATCATACAAGTCATCTATGAAAAGCAAGGCACAGAAATGAAATAACTTACATCTCAAAAAGTTTCGCTGGATTCCACCAATGCGCTGAATTGAAGATCAGAATATCAGAATCAATCCACTCTTTACTCATATCATCCATCTTATCCAGTTTAACCGTTGACTTAACCCTCTTTGGTGCATGTTTTGGAACCGAGCCAGGCAGCACCAGGAAAACCGAACGATAAAACTCAACAGTAAAATCGAAGGAACTAAAACGAACACCTAAAAACCTAATATGTTTTGTAATCCTATTCCCATTTACTTCATAAACACTCCTCTTGTCCTCCACACCAGTCATGAGAAGACATATCATAGACTCCCATTGAGTCCTACTCAATGAATCACCAACAAAGACAACCCGTTTACCACGAAGCATTTCCAAAATTGCCCGCACATCAAACCTTAGGAGCTCACAATTCTTGGGCTTCCACCTCCATTTAAGGTACCCTGTATCTCTCCGCCTGTTAGCTGAACAATCAAAACCTTGTTCCACGAAAGGACATCCCGACGCATTGTACAAAGGGTAATTTTCATCAGCAACCCATCTTCCATCAAACAAATCACACTCACCATTCGAGTCAGCGGACTGAGGAATCCCATAACCATCATTATTGTGAATAACCGGGCGAAAACTCGGAAATGCATACAAGTACCCATAAAACATAGCTAAAATGAATGATAAAAATGACCCAATTACAATGACTCCATTGATTGACTGAAAAACCTTATTCTTAAAATGGACACCAAATATTGGTCTGCCCAAACTCAAAACTCTCATAGTGGAATGCCTAAAATAGCCAGATGAACCCCAATACAATCTACTCACCATCTCATATATATATATTTATATATATATATCAAATAACTTTACATCAGTAACAATGAATTCAATTGTCACTATACATTAACCATAAAAATGAAGTCAATCTAGAATCTTCCTTCCACACAAAAGGCTATCAAACCTATACAAATATCAAACTAAACAACCAAAATCAGACCAATCAGAGACGAGATCGAATCAGAAACAGAGCAATCAAAGTAACCAACAACAGAAGATTGAAAAGCTTACAGTTGTGCCAACTGGGTATTGAAGGAAACCCTAGATCATGGGGTGGGGGGGGTTGCAATCAAGGGAAATTTAATTGAAAATGGAGGGCAGTTTGGTCATTTGTGATTCGTATTTAACAATACATGGTTGGTCTGAATGCGATCTCACAACTAATTATGGTGAAGGTGTTAGAACTTAGTAGCCCACAATGGCACAAGATTGTCTTGTCGGTGACTTAGTTTTGAAGTGAATGGAAAGACAGAATAATAATCATGTGCAGCACTGGTTGGAGAGATTGTACACGTGGCTTAATTCGATTGGATCTGTCTCATGAAAGTAGGAGGAAAAAAAAAGCTTTTTTGGTTTTTAACCAATGAGTGTTGATCTCATGTTATGGAGCTCAAGTGAGTTTGAGCCGATTTTTTTTTTTATAATCTTGATCTAATGGTTAGTATGTAACAGTAATACACACCACACACTCTTTGACTCCAATTTAAGTATGTAGCAGTAATACACACTCTTTGACTCCAATTTAAGTATGGTATGCATTGGACAACAAAATAGGTAAAAAAAAGGTGATATCGGTCAAACATGATTAATTTTATAATTAGAAAGATTGACAACATCATAATATTCACCTAAAGAATATTAATGGTAATTAGTCGTGTGATTCAACTTTCTTACTTCAAATTCAAGAAAAAAAAAAAAAAAAAAAAAAAAAAAAATTTCTTTCACTCCTATAATAAAAAATAGAAATAAAAGTCAATTAGGAATTGAGGACGAATCATTATCTAATTAAGAGATTGTTTAATGGATTGGTAAGTTGTCTTATCATAGACTGATTCATAATGAGGATCTTCAATGTAGGTCCCCACTTATCATGCCTGGAGAATAATCACGCACCTGATTAGGGTATGAAATGGATTAGGTTTGATCTAGGTTGAATTAAAATCTAATTTGCTAGTTTTGAATATAATTTTAAATTCAAATTTTTAAATGTTTAAGATATGAGATATTTTTAGATGATCAACCATGGGTTCAAGTAGGATTCAGATTAGGTAGGGATGAAAGAGAATTGGCTTTAACTGAAGTTAAGACCAATTTAATGCTTTTGGATTTTGTTTGGTTTAGTGATGAATTATGTGATATGAATACATGGCTTATGCAATGACCATACCCTTTTCATAACCTTTCCCATTTTGTTACTCACCTAATTGAAAAATGCTGGGGGTGAAACTCATTATTCATGTCTAGAGACAGTAGTGGTATTTAATAAATTGAAAATTAAGTATTGAAAATTTTAAGAATTAAATTTACGTGCTGAAAATCTGAATCACCATGCCACCATACCCCTTTTTGAGCCGTCTCCCATCAAATCATTACTATTGTTGCCAATAAAGTCAATCGTACTTGTCTGGATTGGACGACGCTTTGTCACTAAACTGTTAATTAAAAACTAGATCACGACTAAATTGGTGGTTATACACAAAAACTAAATCTATTGTACTAAATTGAATTGTTAAACACCACCTTTGTCATGTAATGCTCTTATATAAGAGTGAATAGAGACACATCCACGTGCTTATCTGGATTGGACGACGCTATGTCACTCAACTGTTGATCAAAACTATATCACAACTAAGTTGGTCTTGAAACCGAGTTATACACAAAAGCGAAAAGTGTCTAGTGATAAGTGAAATATCTATTGATATCCTTTATTAGGATAAGTACTAAATCTGTACTAAATTGGATTGTTAAACAAATTACATTCAATATGATGTTGAGTGATTTAGTTTCACCCAAAAAATCAGTGCTGCCAATAGGATGTTAAAAACCCTTCACTAATTTCTCCCCTTTGCACTAGTTCAATCAAAATCTTTGCTTTTCATTTCTTTTCCTTCTTATTCTATCTTGAAAGAATTGACGATTGTTTTTATTGCCATTTTGGCGGAGGAAACTCAAGAAAGCATAGAATAATTCAAAACCACAATGTGTGAGTTTTTCTCAATCGTCGATGGAGGGACGTGTATTATTTGGCAATCTCCGGCCATGTACAAATGAACTGAACAGATGCAAAACTCTTATGGTTGTGCCTTTGGTACCATATGAGCAGCACCCCTTACGGTGGCAAAAGTCAACAAATTTCCATATTCGGTAGCCCAACCTCCTACCTATTAACAACACAAATACATAAATGAAAGTTTCATCAGCGTCGCGAAGTTCACATCAAATGCTGTATCAAAGTGATTGAGAAATGGCGTTGCATATGTACCTGCCCTTTGTGAAACCAAGCACCATATGGGACTGCTATCTGGAAATGTAGATTTTGAGCCAGTTCACGGATGAGTGACTGCGAACCAAGCAAAGGAACAACAGAATCTTGATCCCCACTGCAGTTGTGTAAATTTAAACAATTACATTACTAATAGATTATCCAATATATATTTAAATTATTTTATATACATATATATATTGTATTATTCAAAATGATACCTAAAAACCCAGACAGGAATGTGATTTTCGACTATCCTTTTAAGCAAGGGCAGAATGTTGATATTGCCATCTGTATCACTGTAATTCAGATTGCTGTCCAATAGAAGATAGGTGAAAATCAAGATATGGAAGTTGTAGTTCTAATAATATACAAACAGCATGATTGGTAAGCCTAAATTTGATCTGTGGCCACTAGACAACAAAGATTTTGGTGAATGTGTTGAATGAAAATTAGATAGGTCATTTAAATACAGAAATACAAGCAATTTGAAGTTGAATTTAACTATATTTTCACTTCCACAAGAGATGGGAAACTATGCTTGGATAGAACTGTTGCAAGAATGAGTTGTCATTGTTTTTAGTTGAAAGCTTATGGAGAAATTGATTCTACAATAATTGTCTATCACCGGTGAGTGAGAACCTCCTCACCACCATCGATGTGACAGAATGATAGAATGACGAGTGTCCATTTTGAATTTAAAATATATACAAGAAAAAATATTTAAAAAATGTCTTAATTTTTTCCGCTCTTATATCTTAAATTCAAAATGAACTTGTGTCATTCCATTATTGTGCCACATCGATGATGAGAAAGAGATTCCCACTCACGGTGAGTAGGCAAGATTTGTTCTTTGATAGAAATTACTTACCCACTGCACATGGACCAGCCATATGGTAAATTAGTACGATTTGCATGAAGAGCCTTTTGAACCTCAGGAAGATTAAAATAAAAGCGCCTTTCATAGGTCATGCACATATCAATTCCAACACTAATCTTAGTAGCCTGCAACCATCGGATTCTATCAAACAAATACTTTAAAAATAGTACAAGAATCGGTTGGATGAAGGGGAAAATAGTTACCATTTTCCGCATCGCAGTTCTTGCTCCACTATTGATGGATAACAAACATCAAGGATTACATCATAATTGTTTATATATTCACCAACAATGTTGTCGATTGGAATGGTGATACGGTTTCTGGGTGGGCCTGTATTAATGTCAGCTGCATCCATAGCTGTTGGACTAAGAGGAAAGCTACCACACACTGCCATATCACAGGTATACATATATCACCACACATATACAAACACAAGATGTATCTACCTATATGTGTGTGTATTGCGTGTGTGTGTGTGTGCATGATTTGTTGGTATGGAATCTCAGGCAGCTCTTCCCCAAGGGATTGTACCATTTGTCTTTGCCAGAGAGTATGGGCTGCATCCTGACATACTAAGTACTGGGTAAGTTGTCAAACCTCATCACACACACACACACACACACACACACACACATATATATAATTGAAAGAAATGCTACATTGTACTAATTATCCATCCCAATTCATCATTCAATCATTCATTAGAAACATCACTCCTCTCCTTTTGCAGGGTAATCTTCGGCATGCTAGTTTCCTTACCTGTAACTCTCCTCTACTACATATTGCTTGGCCTGTGAAGAAAATTAGGGCTACAATATGTCCCCGAATTATTGTCCACGCCAACCATCCTTGGGTCCACTGTGTTTGAAGTAGCCAACATCTAAAATGTCATTAGCAAGATCAATGGTGCTTAAGCTTTCTAATCATGTAAAATTCTCTGAACAAGATTGACTATTGACTTATATCGACCGGATTTTAAAAGCCGCCGGAAAACTAGGGTTAACATAGAGTGTGACAGAAGAATGTAAACAAGTTCAAGGTTCACTGTCCTAGCTAGTGGTACATGGAGTAGTGGTAGCCGAAAGGAAATGGATTATCGTGACTTATTATGATTAAGGTAGGGGACTTGTTCTTCTCTTATGGGGTGGACAAAGTTGTTGCAACAAAGTATTTTTGACCCAAGAAAAAGGGAAAAAAAGGTAAAATCATTTCAATGCTACTTTTATGTTTGTGTGATTTTATTGTTATTTCTTTGATTTTCTGAATCAATCATGACACAGTAGTAAATGCTTTCTCCTTTTCAAGGATATATATATATATATATATATATGAAACAAAGATTATATTGCCTTAGAATTGAAGCCTTGTGACCAAGATAGAAAATGAATGCTATATTGATTGCTTCTTTATGTTGCCAATATAATAAAAGGAAGCATCACATAGAAATGCAATCATTTTGTTGTGTCTCAGTCAGTCAAAAAGTCCATAACCCAAAAAGAATTTGTCATCCAAAGTATTAAAGTAAAAATGATAGGGAATAATAAGGATAATAATGCTTGATACATTATAATTTTTTCATCCAAGTACTTAAGTAAAAACCTAAAGTAAAAACAGAGTATGATATCCTCTACTCAATATGAACTCTATTAATTATATATATAAATAAATATTTATTGGTTAGTTATATTGGTTAATGTTTGCAAAATATTAAGTTGAGTTCAATGTGGAATGGTAGAGCTTGTGGAATTATTTGATTCAGTAGATTTTCATCCTTTATTTGTAGAGAATTTTGACAAGCAGAATGTCCAAAATTTTGGTTTCTTAACCTTTTTAGTTTAAATGATTAATAGATAATAAAAGCCATTTGATATCCCCATGTGATATTCACACCTCATACATGATTTTGAAAATCTTACAAGGTACTTCATGGTATAATATATTAATTGTTCTTAATTTCTCTTTTATTTTGAGAGTTGGTTAGTTTACAAATTTTAAAATTGTTGTATATAATTTGGGCTAGTTTTCATTATATGAAGAAAATAATTTTTTCTGTTAATCATGTGAACTTATTATGCTCTATTCATTGTATCCTCTACTCACGTAATGTTAATATTAATTATTTTGGTTATAATGCAAAATAATAATTTCAAACTTTCAAGTGGCAAAACTTCTGTAATAAACTTCTGTAATAATTTAATTTCCATACATGTTGACACTAGTTCAAATTTAATTTCGATGCATGTTGACACTAGTTCAATCGTCTTAATCTACAAAATCTTTTGAGAGATTACGTATTTTAAGAGATCTTCTAAACTCTATATTCTACGTTGTAAATGGAGAAAACCTACAGTTTCATTTGTAAGCGAACGTGTTCTTGCTTTTAATGCATCTATATGTAGTGAAGACACCTTTGATTCTACCAGATTCAAAATTGCATTCGAGTACTAGTTATTCGGGTCGTCTTAACTAATATTTTTAGTTTCCTCTGATATCTCAGGTAAACACGGCTGCCAATTTATTTTTAAATTTTTAACAAAAATATATAATATATTAGTATAGAGTTACTACTCCAAGATTCTCCAAATTTATCTAAAACAAAGTACACCTTTATATCATTGGTTAGAGTGTTAGGGGTATGATATGTCATGCAAGAGTTGTTTATGTAAAAATGAAAAATGAATGATAGAACATACATAAAATCTTTTGTTCGTGCTTCAGGCATGGTTCGCAGTATTGGTCACGGTTGTGGTCGCAGTGTAACGGATTCCGACAAAGTTAGTGTAAACTGGCCGATACGGATCGTGTATCGGACTTAAAAAATAGTTGTGTATTGACCGATACGGTGGACCATGGCTTCAGGTTGGTCAAAAAAGAAAAGAAAATAATAATAATTGATAGGGAAAAATAACCTACCTTAACCAACCGCCAGACCTCTTCGACATATTTCGTTATGAGAGATAAAGATTTCCATCGGATAAGAATGATGACATTTCGTATCCAGGATAATGAATGACGACGTGGTTCAACAAGGTGAGGATAACCTTGGCACAATTTGAGAAAGTCAAAGGAGTAAATCATATCCCCTACAAATCTAGCAACAAACGATCTCCTCTGATCTCGCACAAGCGGATCTCCCGCGGGATCAATTTGATTCCAATCGACAGCCATAAATAGGGCACCAAGCCGTTAAAGAAGGTACGAGAAAAAACCTCTAAACAGAATATTACATAATTATTATGTAATACGATTACAAGTATTAACTTGATCGTCGGAGGGTCCTCGGCTGGCACCCCACTGGTGCCATTCGAGATGACGTCCCTTTGTTTTGTAGATAAACGCTGTCGCTCCGAGTCGCGAGGATTTTTGCATCAACAGCTGGCGCCGTCTGTGGGAACGATTAGTTTTCTGAAGAAATAATAATCCTGACGCGACTTGGCTCGGACGGCAAGACAAAAGTTTCCGATCATGGAAACCATCCCAAAGTCATCAATTGACAACGGGTTTCCATATACTTATATAAGGACGGGTCTCTACATCATGATTACCCGTCCATCGTATTGGGGGCAAAACGGTGGGTTGGGTGATGTCACTCAGTGTACGACAACAATAATCAAAATTTGGCCCGTCGACCCAGGCAGTCCAATACTCCAATGTGGTGTTTTCCATCTAGCGATGCTTGATCCCCTCATTACTGAGGTTTGGTTGTCTAAGACCAAACTCTATCTCATATCTGGCAGCAGCCAACTACCAAGGCCTGATCGGTGAAGGATAAGGTCTGGTCCTTCTGCACCTGCATAAATGAGTAAGCCTCCACCTACCAGACGATAGTCGTCACCTCTCTTCCTTTGCAGGAATTGCCTATCGACTTCAGATTATACAGAATTTTGGATTGATAATCCATGGCAGGTTAATTTTCAGTAATCATAATATAATATTTTTAGACAACTGTAAATTGTTGCAGCACCAGGCACCCCGTTCGCTGTATAAACGTCTATAGAATGGGTCATCACCCAAGATCCCATCATCGGGGGCAGAATAGTGGATCACACGATATTAATCGTCAATCTACATATTAAAGGAAGTAGGTTTTATCATCGCGGTGTCGTATATAATTAAAGCTTCCTTCATTTATTAGAAAGACACGACTACCTCTCGTATTAAAGGGGTCACCCTCCTTCAGACTACACCTCTTTCCCCCATAAGGGTTACAAGGGATGATAATATGTGTCCTGTACTACAAGGACCCGGGCTGAATGAATCCCGTAATCAATATCCCCGTACTATAAGGGATAATAAATGAGTGTCATGTATTAAAAGGACCCGGGCTGGATGAATCCCGTAATCAATATCCCCGTACTATAAGAGATAGTAAATGAGTGTCCTGTATTAAGAGGACCCGGGCTAAATGAATCTCGTAATTAATATCCCCGTACTATAAGGGATAGTAAATAAATGTCATGTACTACAAGGACCCGGGCTGAATGAATCCCGTAATCAATATCCCCTTACAATAAAGGATAGTAAATAAAAATCCCTTACTAAAGGGACGAGCTGAGTAAAAGCTCGTAAAATTTAATTCCCTTATTAAAGGAGTGATGACCTGAGTGAAGCTCGTACAATTTATTCCCTTACCAAGGGAAGATTACCCAATGGAAAAGTACCTGAGGGAATACTACTGAAGGGAAGAGTACCCAAGGGAATATTGCCCAAGGGAAGAGTACCCAAGAGTACTAAAAATAGTACCCAAGGGTACCAAAAATAGTACTCAGGGGCAGATTACCCAAGGGTACCAAAATTAGTACCCAGGAGAAGATTACCTAAGGGTACCAAAAATAGTACCCAGGGACAGAGTACCCAAGGGTACCAAAAATAGTACTCAGGGACAGAATACCCAAGGGTACTAAAAATAGTACCCAAGGGCAGAGTACGCAAAGGTACCAAAAATAGTACCTAGGGACAGAGTACCTCGGGGAACAGTACCTAGGGCAAAAAAAAAAAAATTACTGTTCACATGAACGGTACCCGCGGGCACTATTCCCGAGGGATCAGTGCCTAGAAAAAAAAATAAAAAAATTACTGTTCCCTCGGGAACAGTGCCAGGGGGGAAAAAAAAAAAAATTTACATTCCCAAAGCTAAACGAGCAAGCTGGGGAATGGGGGGCAACTGATAGGGAAAAATAACCTACCTTGACCAGCCGCCAGACCTCTTCGACATATTTCGTTATCAGAGATAAAGATTTTCATCGGATAAGAATGATGACATTTCTTATTCAGGATAATGAATGACGACGTGGTTCAACAGGGTGAGGATAACCTTAGCACAATTTGAGAAAGTCAAAGGATTAAATCATATCCCCGACAAATCTGGCAACAAACGATCTCCTCTGATCTCGAACAAGCGGATCTCCCGCGGGATCAATTTGATTCCAATCAACAGCCATAAATAGGGCACCAAGCCATTAAAGAAGGTACGAGAAAAAACCGCTAAACAGAATATTACATAATTATTACGTGATACGATTACAAGTACTAACTTGATCGTCGGAGGGTCCTCAGCTGGCACCCTACTGGTGCCATTCGAGATGACGTCCCTTTGTTTTGCAGGTAAATGCCGTCGTTCCGAGTCGCGAGGATTTTCGCATCAACAATAATAATAATAAAAACTATAAGATATGCTTGTTTGTTTCATAGGATAGGGAAAAATAAGAGACCAAACATGAAAGAAACTCACAATATGCTTTGTTTAATTGTCACAAAGAATTTCTAGCGAGATAAATGTTGGGAAAACAATTCTATTATTTTTTTGCTTTTTAACAATTTAATACAATACCAATGTATATAATAAATTTACATTTACAACTTAATAAACAATTCCCACCGATAAGTTACTTTTGTCAGCAACCTAGTAACACAAATTAATTGAGTTAACTGGTTTTCTGATATTTGTGTGTTTCCAGATTCTACCAAATATAGTTTCATAAAATTCAAATTATGAATCTTAAGTTATGATTTTGGAGAGGCAAAAAGGTATAAATCAAAATTACATGAGTCTTTTACTTTGGTAAAAACCACATCCCACTGACCTAAGTTAACTGGCAGGTACAAAAATCACATCAGCTCAAAAGCATTTGAAATTGCAAAATCACATAGAGCTCCGGTAAAATATTTATTTCATTCTTTATATCAACAGGAAACACAGGTGTTGCAACTTAATAATCACAAATTCACAAACAAATACAATCGAATAGCACGGTAATCCAATAGTTGACGTTCGTCACATTTTTTCGAATTTTAGCAGAAGGTCCTCAAAGTGAAGAGGAACTTAAAAATTTTATTTTCAAGCTTTTACCATTTCGGAAATTATGTTATCAAGATTTGTGCTCGAGATGGTGGTGACTTGAACTGGAAGGAGATGGCCCCTCCTCAAGGGTAATAGGAAGGTTAGGATGGTAATGTGCAGATTTAGCATGCATACCTTCACCAAACACTTCATTCTTCCTGATCACTTCATCAACATGCACATCATCATCAATTGATAGCACAACAGCTTCTTGTCCATGTGGGCCCTGAACAATGGCCTCCTTGATCTTTAAATGTTCATCGGCACGTATGATATCAGTTTCCTGTACTGTCTTCTTCTTCCTCTTTTTGATGAAGCAACAAAGAGCGACTGCCAGGAATGCTAGGAAGAAGAAACAGCCAAATGAGACAAACACAATAACTATAACCGTAGAATGGTTGTCTGGCGAAGGTGAAGGTGGTGGCGGAACAACATGAGGAGGTGGTGGTGGAACGACATGAGGAGGTGGCGGTGGAGAAAAATGTGGGAAGTCGAAGTTATTTGCAGGAGAGGCCATCTGAATGTTGTGAAAATTCTGAAGATATTGGATTGACTGGATGTGGAGAAACACTACTTCTGGGGGCTTATTTGTAGTGTGGATTTGATTATGTTGTGCAACTCAATGCTTTCAAGTTTATTGAGACTTGACTCTCATGCTAAGATTTGGAGTGATGTTGTCTTTGATTGCAGTGGAAAACACTTCTCAAACCTTACCTTGCCTATCTTGCTAGGCCTGTTTTCTACATCAAAAGAATTAAAATTTTCATGGGAAGTTTTGCTGAGCATTCGGGTGTGCATTTTGTTCGTCACTACTCTAATTCAAGCAGTCTACCAAATTTGGTTCTACGAGACTACAAGACAAGGCTACTTTTTGATCTATTTTCATCCAAACAGAGCCAGAGCTGTTCTTCAATTTTCCAATGATTGTTGTTATATTACATTCTTCACAAACTAAAAGCAATTATGCAACTCTTTGGTGGTTCAATATTTTTTAAGTGACTCCTTTTACAGTTTCAACTTTCAACTTGTAGTTGTAGGTACACAAAATTGAGCACAGGTTTTTGTTTCAGAATTTCTCTTTAATAATTTCCAAGAACTACCGCCATAAATTCATTAATCAACCTTCAGTAACAATCCAAACGTACTTAAAAACAGAAACCAAAAGAATATATATATATATAAAATCATAAGTGTACATTGTTTCGAGTAAACAAAATGTTATTACAACTGATAGAATTTTATTTGCATGGGTGTTGACATACAAGATTATTTCAAATAGGATATAGGTGGAAAGCAACTTATGGAATAAGGCAGCTCTAAAAGACATGGTACTAAGCAACTCTCAAAATAAAATAAAATAAAAATATTGGGGGAATTTGTAAGAAAGGTGACATCTCACCACATTAAGCCAAATCTGCCCAGAAAAGGAAATTTAATGATGAATAAAAGAACAAGTATTTATCCCTCAAGTCACGCATGAACTGGAAGACGGAGTAAAGTAGAAGCTAACAGGAAACAAGAAAGGGGTAGGATTATTATAAGTATGAAGAAGAGAAGAAAATTTACTTGCGAATTCCCATTATCAGTGAAGGGAAACCCTGTTCTGTGTAAGCAGATGCGAGAAAATAACTTCATTCCATGTGTCAGGTACTCCAGGTAAGCACCAATGGCTACAATCAGGCACAGATGGATTGTCGCCCCAAGTACTCACATGTGCATCGCTATGAAATGCGCCCATGGGAGTAACATGCAGCACTGTCACAGGACTCATCATGTTCTTCACCACCTTCATTATGATGTCAGAAAATGGGTTACGGTCTCTGCCTCTAGTTTTTGATAAGGGCTGTTGAGTCACTTTGCAGTTCTGACGTGTTCCGCCACTGGCATAAAAATAGCAAGTTAGCAACAAAGTCAGTCACCTTACATATAAGCTTACATTGTAACTTGTGAAGTTGTGATGCAATGTGGAAATGTACATAAAATTAAATGATAAATAAGCATTCAAGGGTATAAAATGAAGGATAGACTTGATAAAGTGCCAAATAACTAGCTCTATTGGAGGATTTTTTATTTTATTTTTTTTAATCACGGTAGCAGTTCGATGAAGAGTACCATAAAAAGAGAAAAGAAGACTTATTCAAGTGGTGGTACCATTGCCACTAAATCAACTTCTTGTGTATGGAGTCTGTGGACAGGAGAACATGCAATTTCGGGCGAAAATATTGACACTAATTAGAATGTAGTAGCAAGCCGTAAAAAAGAAAAAAAAGCAGCCAAAAATATTTATCTCCATTTGCAGAAAACCATACACGAGCTAACTGAACTCCTCTGAAGTGAATTCTATTTAAAAGTTTTGACTCCAGCTATGAAAAATTTCATGAAGGTGCTAACACGATTTGGCAGCAAATACACTAAATAGTATAACGCACCTCCAATGAGAAGCTTCAGAAGTCCGAAAGAATACGTGTATTCTATTTGTATCGACCATGTTCTTGACCCAAGATGCCCAAGTATCTAATGCAGTTCTGAAGGCAGCAGTTATGGACATTCCAAGCTTCATCCTTCCACCAACCTGGAAATAGCAGCCCCTGCATAAAAAACATATTAGAAGCATTCTGCAGAAACATTTATAAAGATACTGTCTTAAATTCTAAATTCCAGAGACTAAACCTGAAATTTTAGCAGTTTTGAAACCAAGGGGAGTTTTCCATGAAATTGATAATCTGTCATATGCAATGCATGTCAGAATTGCAGAATATCATGTTTGGTTGTCCTGATGGTCACTATAGGCAGCACAAAAGTTATTATTCAAGAACTTTCTTTTTTTCTTTTTCCAAGTTATTATTCAATAACTTCTCAAATGTGATCAGTGTAGCATAAATGCATCAGGTGATATATATATAGAGAGAGAGACAGAGAGAGATATGCACATACAAGACACTAACATTATGAAAACAATACTTTAATGAACTGATTGCACAACTAGTGAAACTTTATATCCCTAAAGATCTACACAAAAGGATCTATGCAAATTGAAGGAAATGTATAATTGGAATATAATTACAGTCCTAACAGTTAAACTTATTTTTACCTAAATATTTTGGCATAACAAAAACAGATTATTCTGTTTCCACTTTAATTTTATTTTTTTTATTTTTATTTTTTGAGTAGGTACCATTTAATGTCATTTTACCCCATTATTTGGCAAGGTGTTCCAATTATTTTGTAGCCTTGTCGCACCATCACCACACCATTTTAAACACACAAAACAAGTAGGGAAGATAAATTAGCTTCTGCGTTGTGCTTATATGTTCTCAGATCTATAGTATTTCTACACATCAAATTTAGAATTGTTAAAAGGTCAGTACACGACTGGATTGCCCATTTAAGCAAATATCATTCCGCAGTTTTAAAAAAATTGCTTCGGGAGTACCATAATTATATTTCTTTTTATTTTTACAGTTGTGTCCAATTTTTCACAAGGATATCCCCTTCAGAAGACTGAATTTATTTTTTACAGTTATGTCCAATTTTTCACAAGAATATCCCCTTCAGAAGACTGAATTTATTTTTTACAGTTATGTCCAATTTTTCACAAGGATATCCCCTTCAGAAGACTGAATTGCCAAGAATGTAATTATGGTACTCCCGAAGCATTTTTTAAGCCCTCATTAATGGAACAAAATCCTTTCAATGATTAGTAGATCAAAAAAGCTCCCCTCTTAGAATTAAAAATTCCCAGTCATCGGTAAAATCTTGTCATTTGTCAGTCTCATGTCCATCTGAAAAAACTCATAGTGGAACTCTTAGCCCGGGTTGCAATGCTTCAATGCACCCAAGTAGTGAGGGAACATGTACCTCTCTCTTACATTTTCCTAATAAAGGCTTCTCTATTCAACTCTCCCACCACTGAGAAATTTTGATACAGAAAAGAATTCCGAAGTCAGATATGACAGGATCCTAATCACAAAGAGAGCATTTTCTTCTTTGTAATAGTGGATATCTGATGGCGCATGATATCTCAAGCTATCAAAACTCTTAAGGCTTAAAACAATAGATTAGGACACTACAAATTTTGGATACTTCACTTGAGAGACTAGCTTCTTCAAAATTTTAAACAATTAAAACGATTTTTTTTTTTCCTAATTAAAATGCCTTTCTCCTCTTGTATACTAACAGTACATACAGCGGAGAGGCTTATCTTACAGTAATGCCCTTTTGAAAATAAGCCATTCTAAAAGTCCTGCACATTTTAGATTTAGACTTCATATAATGTCATCATAAGGATTACATGTTTCAACCCATCAGATAGGCTAAAGACGATTAGAGTATGCACTCCAAGCTTCTTGTTATTTGCTATTACGTCAAATTCTATTAAGTGAAGCATGAAGCATGAAATGTGAAGAGTGAGAGTAAGGAAGAATGTAAAACTAGAGGAGATATCAAAAAAATATATATACATATATAAATGTATAGGATCATATGGCACTTCAGCTCATGACAACAAGCATACAAGGTGAATTGAAATTGGACTGATAAGTGATAACGACTAAAACTTTACATTCAACTCTAAATACCAAAGAACAATTTTGAATAAAATCATACAAGTCATCTATGAAAAGCAAGGCACCAAAATGAAATAACTTACATCTCAAAAAGTTTCGCCGGATTCCACCAATGCCCTGAATTGAAGATCAAAATATCAGAATCAATCCACTCTTTACTCATAGCATCCATCTTATCAAGTTTAACCGTTGATTTAACCCTCTTTGGTGCATGTTTTGGAACCGAGCCAGACAGCACCAGGAAAACGAACGATAAAACTCAACAGTAAAATCGAAGGAACCAAAACGAACACCTAAAAACCTAAATCTGTTTTGTAATCTTATTCCCATTTACTTTATAAACACTCCTCTTGTCCTCCACACCAGTCATGAGAAGACATACCATAGACTCCCATTGAGTCCTACTCAATGAATCACCAACAAAGACAACCGCTTAACACGAAGCATTTCTAAAATTGCGCGCACATCAAACCTCGGGAGCTCACAATTCTTGCGCTTCCACCTCCGTTTAAGGTACCCTGTATCTCTCCGCCTGTTAGCTGAACAATCAAAACCTTGTTCCACGAAAGGACATCCCGACGCATTGTACAAAGGGTAATTTTCATCAGGAACCCATCTTCCATCAAACAAATCACACTCACCATTCGAGTCAGCGGACTGAGGAATCCCATAACCATCATTATTGTGGATAACCGGGCGAAAACTCGGAAATGCATACAAGTACCCATAAAACATAGCTAAAATGAATGATAAAAATGACCCAATTACAATGACTCCATTGATTGACTGAAAAACCTTATTCTTACAATGGACACCAAATATTGGTCTGCCCAAACTAAAAACTCTCATAGTGGAATGCCTAAAATAGCCAGATGAACCCCAATACAATGTACTCACCATCTCATATACATGCATATATATATATATATATATAACATCAGTAACAATGAATTCAATTGTCACTATACATAAACCATGAAAATGAAGTCAATCTAGTATCTTCCTTCC